AACACACTGCATCTTGAAGAAAACACACCACATACGCAGAGAAAAGAATGCCATGGAATATGCTGCCACACAGACAAAATGGAACAAAAGTTCTGATTAACCTCCGTCACTCTCTTTAATAAAACCAACACCATACAATGTACTGACATAGCTGTTTTGACTAGTTGGAACAGTGCAAACATCTTGGTAGGAAAAATCAACAGGTGTCTGTTTAGCACTGATAAAACAGCTAGCACAAATATGGGAAAAAGACCTATCAAATTTAAATGCCAAATGTGTTGGCAACTGATCTAGGTTCACATACTCAATCCACATTAGTCTTCCAGAACAGGTGATCTATGCTGTTTCAATGATAATTTGGTATCTTCTAGTCACTCACTCTACCAGTAAAACATCTCTAAGCCAAGAACAGGTTGTAATGTACCTGCCCAGACAGGCTATGACTTTTACACTAAGTCTCCTGTCAGATTCATTATTACTTTAGGATTGGGTTCAAGTCCTTAACTTGGCCTCTCCTTCCAACAATGAAGGGCCTAGAAGACTCAGGTAATTTGGATTTTGGCCAGACGCAGAGGCTCACGCCTGTAATCCCAACACTTTGGGAGGATGACGTGGGCAGATTGCTTGAGCCCAGGAGTTCATGACCAGCCTGGGCAACATGGCAAAACCTGGCTCTACGAAAAATACAAAAATTAGCCAGAGCTGGGCACGGTGGCTCACACCTGTAATCTCAGAACTTTGGGAGGCTGAGTAGGGGGCGGATCACTTCAGGTCAAGAGTTTAAGACCAGCGTGGCCAACATGGCAAAACCCCCTTCTCTAGTAAAAATACAAAAATTAGCTGGGCATGGTGGCATGTGCCTGTCATCCCAGCTACTTAGGAGGCTGAGGCAGAATTGTCTAAACCTGGGAGGCAGAGGCTGCAATGAGCCAAGACCATGCCACTGCACTCCAGCCAGGGCAACAGATGGAGACCCTGTCTCAAAAAAAAATAAATAAATAAAGTGATTTTTTTTTTCTCCTGTGCCCAGGTTCTAGACACACACACACACACACACACACACACCCCGATCAAAGCTTTTTTCCCCCCACAGGTTTGCGCCACCACGCTCAGCTAATTTTTTTGCGTGTTTTTAGTAGACACAGAGTTTCACCATGTTGGCCAGGCTGGTCTCGAACTCCTGACCTCAAATGATTTGCCCGTCTCAGCCTCCCAAAGTGCTGGGATTATAGGTATGAGCCACCACACTCAGCCAGATCAAAGCTTTTCAATTTCAGTTTCAAAAACTAAAGCAAGGAGAGAAAACAAAAATGATAGCTACTATCATTGTAACTATCATTATTGTAATAGCTAATATTATTGTGTACCTCCTAACCAATTATTATGTATTATCTCATTTAATCCTCATAACAGCCCCATGGGGCAGATACTCTGTCCCTATTTTAGAGATGAGGAGACTGATGCACTGAGAAGTTAATTAAATCCCATAAGATCACATAGCTAGAAAGTAGAACTGGGATTTGAACCTAGGCAGTCGGATTTCAGAGCCTGCATTTTTTTTTTTTTTTTTTGAGACGGACCCTCGCTCTGTTGCCCAGGGCTGGAGCGTAGTGAGGCAATCTCAGTTCACTGCAATCTCCGCCTCCCAGGTTCAAGAGATTCTTGGGCATCAGTCTCCTGAGTAGCTGGGACTACAGGGGCACACCACCATGCCCAGCTAACTTGTATTTTCAGTAGAGATGGGAGTTTCACCACGTTGGCCAGGCTGGTCTTGAACTCCTGGCCTCAAGTGATCTACCCTCCTCAGCCTTCCAAAATTCTGGGATTACAGACCACCACACCCGCCAAAGCCTGCATTCTTAACAACAATGGTACAGATTGCCTCTTATCTTCTAGGAATCAACACAATGACCATTTGATGTGCTAAGTACACAGGGCTCATGTGAATAACTCAGAGAACTTAAAAAGATGTTTAGTTCCACCAAGTTACCACATGACCCAGCAATTCCACTCCTACTTATCAGCAGAAGAATAGAAAATATATATCCAAACAAAAACCTGTGCATAAATGTTCATAAAAGCATTATTCACAATAGCCCAAAAGTGAAAACAATTCAAATGTCCATCAACCGATGAATGAACAAAATGTGATATATCTACACCATAGAACACTATTCAGCTATAAAATAAAATGAAGTACTGATACATACTACAGCGTGGACAAGCCTGAAATCACTGTGCTTAATAAAAGAAGCCACTCACAAAAGGACTCATATCATATGACTCCATATATATAAAATGTCCAAAAGAGGTAAATCCACAGAAACAGAAAGTACATTAGTAGTTACCAGGGTCTGGAGTGGGGTGGATGGGGAGTGACTGTAAACAGGTATGTAGTTTCTTTTCGGGATGATGAAAATGTTTTGAAATTAGTGGCGATAGTTGCACAAAACCATCTGTACTATAAATGAATATACTAAATACCACTGAAATGTACACTTTAAAAGAATGAATTTCATGGTATATTAATATCTCAATAAAGCTGTTATTTTTAAAAAGAATGTTTCATTCATTTGTAACTTGTTATTTTATGTAATAAAATTTTTATTTGTTGTCACTAAGGTTGTTGGATCATGATCAGACAGAAAGAATCTTGTCATCGCTTTGATTTTTCACCTTTCAATTTGCAATGAAGAGTAAAGCAGTTTCATTTCCAAGTTGCCATGCGTCCAGTACAGTCATTTGTGTCATTTCCCCACCCAGGAGAAAGTTTTTCTTCCCTAAGACCGAAAGAGTACAGATGCAAAAGTTCTATTCTTGACAAAATGCTCTAATATTTTCTTTAAATCAAAGTACCTTTCTATCTAAAAGAACCTTAGTTTTCTCCCACGACCAGAGGCTTGTGGGCTTTACTGCTAAAAGCACACAGCTGAAAAATATTTCTCTTTACCAAGTAAGGTACTAAAAATTATTATGAATTGTGACAATATTTGAATACCTTAAAACAAACAAGGAAGACAATGAGCTGGGGTAAGGATCTGAGTAACATTCTTTTAAATGTTTACTTGCTCTAATAATGACAGTAATATTAATAACTACTGTCTTCTGAGCAACTATAATGTGCTAAATAAACACTGTCCTAGGTTCTTTACAAATAGGGTATTTCACTTAGTCCCCACAGTAACTCTGAGGAAGGTATTTTTATTTCTCATTTCACAGATAAGGAAACTGAGGCCTAGATAGATTATTTGTCTTGGTCACACACACAGGAGAGCCCAAATAGTAACCCAAGTCTTTCTGAACTCAAAAGTTCTCTATTTCTCTATATTCTTCGAAATGAAAAGGGAATCCAGAAGCTTGAAGAAACTGAAAAGACTTCTCTTCCTATCTCAGAAAAGTAGTGCTTTAAAAAAGTTGACTGTTCTTAGAGTCAAATACAGGAAATACAGGAAAAAAAGATTGTTAATAGCAACCACCAGTCAGAAGGCACAGAAGCCCATGCCATGTCCCACATCTCTTGCACTGCTTCCTGATACAACTGTCTTCCTATTGATTCTGATTATAATCTTAGGATGTCAAAATTTAATGATCTCACTATGGAAAACCCCGGAGAATAGCAGTTAGCACAACTAGAGAGCTCACTAAACCAGGAAGGAAAAGGAATCAGTTGGCAGGAAGTGGTGCTTACCTAAAAACACAGAACATCTTTAACAGTTATATCAACACCGCAAGTCCGCAGCACTTTAATCTGATGTTATCTTTCTATTATTTAATAAGTATTACTAAAAGCTGATTTCCACCTATTTTCCATATGTCTACTAGGATCCTTAATAAAACAAGACTCTTGGTGGGGCATGGTGGCTAACGCCCACAATCCCAACACTTTGGGAGGCCAAGGCAAGAGGATCACTTGAGGCGAGGAGTTACAGACCAGCCCAAACATAGTCAGACCTTATTTCTATTTCATTGGGGGGGGGAAAAAAAAAAGTAAGGCTCTAACTCAGCCACTATTGACCCTCATCTCCCTCTTGCTTAAAAAAAAAAAAAAAAAAAAGTCACGAGTTCAAAAGATCATCCCAGAAAGAAAAAACCTGAATCCATTAGAAAAGGTAGCACGTGGGGCACAACCAAACATGAATTTCATCACCAAGTAGACTGTGGCTGGCAGAAATCTTAGATTCACGACTGAAATACACACTCTTCCTTATACTTCTCAGGACTTTGCCCAAAATAAACTGAAACAGTAAACCAACAGTAGACTGATGAATGGATAATTTGCCAAAAGTCTCAACATACACCACAAAGAGGGTGGGAGTAGTCTTAGGAGGTCTGCTCTCCAGCTAAACAACTGAAGAATGAAAGAATTTAGTGCATTTGCACAAGAAGTGCATTACAATACAGGGGAGGAAGAAGTCACTTGGGGTTGGACAAATCCTTAGAAAATGCCAAAGGAATAACCTGATTCTGTGGTCGCCTTGTAATAATTCCCAGTGGGAAAGGCCAACTCAAGATAAAGTAAGGTCGGAGTTGAGAATTGTCCTCACTTTTCCTGCCTAACCCTCTCGGCAGGCGACCCCAAACTCCCACAAGAACCCTTCGGGTAAGTGCCGAGCTGGGGGAGCAAGCCATCCTCGAGCGACCAACCACCTGTGCGTGGTGGAGACCCCTGAGAGGGAGTCCTAATTAGAGTGGGAAGCAGCTCTGGGGAGGAACCCCCGAGACCAGGGCCGACACTGACTACTCACCCAACTCCACTCCCCTTTACGCCCAATCTTCGGCCACCTTCTCGCTGAGGTCACCCCTCCAGAAACCTCCGCCCCCAGACCCCGGTCTACACCCACATCCAGCCGTCCCCAAAGCTCGCTGTTCGCTCCTCTGCCTGACAGCTGCCCCAAACCAGTCTTCCGGCCTCGGTGGCGCCCCAGGGCCGCGGGATTTAGGGATTAGGATCTGGAAGGGTTTGGTCCAATACCCTCTCCCTCTCAGCGTCCTGGGCTCACCTCCCCGGCAGCTTAGCGCTCCTCTTCCAAAACTGCTTGCTGTTGTCAGCGGCCATTGCTCTGGCAGGGGGAAGGCCTTGTAGGCGGGCCAAGGGGTTGCCTGGCGAGATGCCCCCAGACCCCGCAATCTGAGGGCCAACCCAGGCCGCTTCCCCGCCGCCGGTCACCCGCTCCCAGCTCCTAGGGACGCCATCTTGGATGTGGGCACCCCTCAACCCAGCACCGCTGCCATTGGTGGGCTGCGCAAGCCGTGGACGGGCCGACCAATCGGGAGCCGGAATCCTGCAGGCCGCTGAAGCCAACGGGTAACGTCAGGGTCTGGGCACACAGGTGGACGGGGAAGGCGGAGCTTGGACGAGCAGAGAGGTGGGGCTCAAAGTTCCTAACCCGCAAGAGGGAAGAAGCAGGTAAAGTAAGGGACCTATGGGAAGGAAGAGAGGGGATTATCTTCTTCGTGAGGAATGAAGTTCCTGAGTCTAATATTTTTTGGCAAGAGAGAGCATACTATGTATTTATATATAGGAATATTTGACCTAAAAGTAAAGGCCCATGTGTTTGTTGTGGCCCATTTTTAACATCTCTCAACTCAATGACACTCTGGTTATTACCCTCCCTTCCTCGTTCCGTTTAGATGTCCATTCGTTTTTCTGAAGGTCAGCAGGGACCCGATAGCCCGGGATTGCTAACTGCTCAACACGTGAGCAACGGTTCATCAGAGTCTCCCTCTCCCTCTGTTTATTGAAAACGATTGAAGGACTTGTGCTGTGGGTGAAAAATTCAAATGATCTAATCCCTATGTCAATCCATAACTCTCACTTTCTGACTATGCTAACGGTGTATAGGAAATGGTTTATCATAGCTGTCCAACTCAGATTACCAAATACGATTTCTTTGAAGGACACAGTATAGCTCCATCGTGTGAATCACAAAGTTAAGGATGTATCTCCTCCCGGCCCCACCAACATCCTTAATTTCCCTTGTTAATCTGTTATAAATCTTGCACCCTTGAATTTATTTTCAATCTAATTTTCCCAGACAATGAGATTTAATATTAGCATTTTGAATCCTTTGAATGTCTTGTCGGTGTTTTTTGCTGTTTTTGAGTTTCTGTGGTTGTATTCCGTGGTGATTTGGGGAGAGAGGGAAAGCGGGCACCAGTCCAGAGTGGTTTTTGTCCCATCGAAGGACTGTTGAGGTGGGCTGCGTGTCCCCCACTCCCCCGCCACCCTCCATTTACAGCTACCACATGTACTTCCACATATTGGAGAATACATAAAGACCCGACCCCCGACGGGTATGTCCTCCAACGACGGTTTCTACATTACTCCCATTTTCAAGCTTCTTTTGTCCCCTAATTTTAGAATTATAGGATTGGATGATGAGGGCTATTTTTACTTCTTCTGAATCTTTCATGCTTTTATACACTTTCATCTTATTTTCTTCATGGGCATTTAACCCAGGAAAAAAAGAAAGAAAAAGTCCCTGTATTCTTTTAATCATTTTACCTGCCATTCTCTGGCACTTCTTTTTCTTAGGATGCAGTGACCAGCACTGCACACTAAGCCCAAAGAGGGATGTACTGAGGCTTTGTTAAGGTTGATGTTTTGTCTTTATTCTGAACAGCCAGAACTTTTGCTGGCTGTTTGGGCTTTAGAAGAGTTGATGTCTTGAAGGAGTAATCTAAAACAACTTCTAGATTCCTTACTTGGGTGGCAACCAGCAGTTCAGAGTTCACTGTCTTAAAGGTATCCTCTGGATTGTCTTCCCCTATGTGAGCTGCCATACACTCATCCATGTGACAAGATACCTGCCACTTTCCAGCTTACACACATGGTTTTAGAGATGTTCCAGAAACTGTTCCCTATTGATTTGACATTTTACTATGTAGAAAGCAAAGTATAATTTGTGTACCTAGAAATATCTCAAAACACTCCTTTTTCTTGATATTTTATGAAATGTTAAATAACACTGATTCCCAGGGGATGTTGTTAACAGTGCTCAACCCAGAGAAGCCCTATTATCACTACACTTTGTTTTCTATATCAGTTTCCCCTCCAAGAGTTTTTAAAAATTCACACCAGTTACCTGGTGATGACTTTTTAAATAGTATTTGGTAGGGAAATTGAGATCGTTGGAACCTTTTTCACCACTACCAGTTGGTCACCCTAATCTTCACCAACCACACACCCGCTTACAGCAGCCTGCTATTCAGCTCCCTGCTTCCACTCTTACCCCGTTACAGTACATTACCCATATAGCAGCCAGAGAGACCTTTTTTTTTTTGAGACCAGGTCTTGCCCTGTCACGCAAGCTGGAGTCCAGTGACATGATCTCAGCACACTACAACCTCCACCTCCCAGGCTCAACCAATCCTCCCACATCAGCCTCCTGAGTAACTGGGACTACAGGCACATACCACCATGGCCAGCAAATTTTTTGTATTTTTGTAAAGATTGAGGTTTCACCATGTTGCCCAGGCTGGTCTCGTACCCCTGAACTCAAGCAATCCATCAGCTTTGGCCTCCCAGAGTGCTAGTATTACAGGTGGGAGTCATCACACCCAGCCCAGAGACACTCTGTTAAAATGTAGACCATATCATGTCACTCCTCTGCTCAAAACCTTGCAATGGCCCCCACTGTACTTGGCATAAAATCCAAGCTCCTTAAAGACCCTACATGACTTGGCTCCACTCACCTCTCCAGCCTCATCTCATTACACTTTCTGTCTTGCTTAATCTGCTCCAACCATGCCCATTGGTCTTATTGCTGTTCCTTGAACACTCTAAACATGTTCCTACTTCAAGGCCTTTGCATTAGCCATTTCCTCTGCTTGGACTTCTCTTCCCCTAAATGCCTTGCTTCCTCATTTCGTGCAGGTATATACCCAACTGTCTTTACCTTGTAGAGACCCTCCCTAACCACCCATCTTAAATACTGGCTACACTGCTCTATTTTTCTTTTTCTTTCTTTCTTTAGTTTTTTGACACAAGGTCTCACTCTGTTGCCCAGGAGTGCAGTGGCATGACCACAGCTCACTGAAGCCTTGACCTCCTGAGCTCAAGCAGTCCTCCTATGTCAGCCTCCCAAGTAGCTGGGACCACAGTGCATGCTACCACACCCAGCTAATCTTTTTATTATTTGTAGAGACAGTCTCCCTATATTGCCCAGGCTGGTCCCAAACTCCTGGGTTCAAATGATCCTTCCTCTTCAGTCTCCCAAAATGCTGGGATTACAGGCATGGGCCACTGTGCCTGGCTCTGTTTTTCTTTGAAGCGCTATCACTACAGGCCATATTATGTACTTGTTTGGTGTCCATCTCTATGCGCTAGAATAGAGGCCCCCTGTCTGTGTCCTGTTAGGAACCAGGCCACATAGCAGGAGGTGAGCGGCGGGTGGCATGCAATCATTACCGCCAGAGCTCCGCCTCCTGTCAGATCAGCAGCAGCATCAGGTTCTCATAGGAGTGTGAACCCTATTGTGAACTGTTCATACAAGGGATCTAGGTTGCACATTCCTTATGAGAATCTAATGCCTTGTGATTTGAAGTGGAAACGTTTCATCCTGAAACCCCCCTCCCGCAAAATTTTCGTGGAAAAGTTGGCTTCCATGAAACTGGTCCCGGATGCCAAAAAGCTTGGGGACTGCTGCCCTAGAATGTGAACCCCACTAAGACTGGGACTTTGTTTTGTTTCCTGCTGTATCCCCAGCACCTAGAATAGTGTTTGGCACACTCGCTAGTGCTTAGTAAACGTTTACTGAGTGAAAGAAGGAAGAATATAAATATTTCTTGTCTTTGAATTCTATGTTGTTCACATATTTTTTTGTTAGGAAAGATGATAGAAACAGTGTTTCCTAACCCCTAGTAGGATATGTCCACTTCACCAATGATTCTACATCCTTGCCTACACTCTTGGTTGAGGAACAGTCTTCTCTGAGAAAGATTGTATTCTTCAAACTCTTTTGCAGCTTTAAAGGAATGTGCCTGTACCTGGAATGATGAGGGAGGGAGCCACCCACCTAGTCAGGAGATCAGTTGGTAGCTGTCATCAAAGGGCTGATAGCTATGACAGCCACTCTTGTCCAGCAAGAGGTGTAAACCATTGGTTTGAAGTTCCCGAGAGGTCCTTAGAGGCCTTCTGATGGAGATCCTTCTTGGCAGACATTCACTGGTCCACTAGACCAGTGCTTCCTATACTATATTGCACATGTGAATCACTGAGGATTATATTAAAAACCTAGATTCTGATTCAGCAGGTCTGAGGTGAAGCCTACAACTCAGAATTTCTTTCTTTTTTTTTTTTTTTTGAGACGGAGTCTGGCTCTGTCACCCAGGCTGGAGTGCAGTGGCCTGATCTCAGCTCACTGCAAGCTCCGCCTCCCAGGTTTACACCATTCTCCTGCCTCAGCCTCCCGAGTAGCTGGGACTGCACGCACCCGCCACCACTCCCGGCTAGTTTTTTGTATTTTTTAGTAGAGATGGGGTTTCACCATGTTAGCCAGGATGGTCTCGATCTCCTGACCTAGTGATCCGCCTGTCTCGGCCTCCCAAAGTGCTGGGATTACAGGCTTGAGCCACCGCGCCCGGCCACAACTCAGAATTTCTAACAAGCTCCCAGGTGACACTGATGCTGCTGATCTATGGACCTCACTTTGTAGCTCTTCTGTTACTAATATAGTATGGCCTGTGATTGTTGAATTTATCTCAAGAGTTTATTCTGAAACTATAAGTAGAGGCTTCTCAATATTGTTTACCTGCAACTTTTTACTTTTCCCCCTTCAAATTCATCTTCATTCAAAAGAGGGTTAAACAACTTAAAATGGGGCAAACTATAGTTAAGGGATGAAATATGCTTGGGTTGACTGTGGACTCAAAAGAGGTAGGCATATCCCAACCCTTAGAGAAAGTTTTATGAGAGATAATCCTTGAGTAGGGACAGAAAAGGAAGGAGAAAGGCCTGAAGAAAGTGACTATAGGAGGAAAGTCACTTCAGGACAGGAGCTCCAATGGGAAGATAAAAATAGAGAAAAAAACCTTTGGACTTACAGAGAGATCACTGGCAGACTTTAACCTTAGCAAAGGAGTGAAGTGGAATGAAGGAAGTAGACACTGTGATGAGGGGAAGGGTTAAGAAATGAGAGCAAGAAGCAGCCCTCACAATGCACTGTGCAATGTTGGGCCACCTAAGAGATAGTGAGGTCAAGCTGGGATTTAACAGGAAGAGAGCTTTACAGTATCTTAACGACCACTGTAAGAGCCAATGCAGAGATCAGTTATATTAGAGAAGGCAAGGGGATAAGCAAAAAGACTGAAAAAGCAAGAGGTTATAGGAATAGAGGAAGAGAGAGTTTTCAGAATTTGGGGGTGAAGGGAAAACTAGGTATTTCATTCCTAAGAATTTATTCTAAG